ATTTCATGCAATCCCATTTGATTTGTTGTGTTTCTGGGTCTTTATTAAGAAAATTTCGGCCTGTGCCAAGGAGACCTAGGGTTTCTCCTATTCCATCCCGTAATGTTTTCAGAGTGAGACTAACTTTTTTGCATGTGTGCCAGTACTGGGTCTTGAACTCAGGGCCTGGGCACTGCCCTTTAGTTTTCTGGCTGAAGGCTGGTACTCTATCACTTGAGCCACATCTCCACTTTCATCTCTGCTGATTAGTTATAAAAAAAGTCTTATCAACTTTCCTTCCTCAGGCTGGTTTCGAATTGCAAGCCTTAGATCTCAGTCTCTTGAGTGTCTAGGATTACAGGTGTGAGCCACCAGTGCCAGGCTAAGACTATTATTAAAATATTAATCAAGATTCAATTTTGTAACAAGACACCTTGAAAAATGACTATCTCCTTAGAAACAGACATACTTAACAAAGTAATATATCAGATTCTTTTTCAGATTGCCTAAATCAGAAATTCCAAATCCAGCTAATTTCTGGTGTGTCTAAGTTGAATCTAGTCTTAACCTTTCCTTTTACTCTTCCTGTTTTCCTTCAACTATATGTGTTTTTTGTTGTCAAAAGTCTACTTATCTTTGGTCAAGTAGTATACCGGTGTATAAACAAAACTCTGTATGTGTGTGTGCATATGCACACACATGCATGTCAGTCCCAGAACTTGAACTCCGGGCCTGGATGTTGTCCCTAAGCTTTTTTTGTTTTTGTATATATTTTTTATTGTAAAGATACTGTACAGAGGGGTTACAGTTACATGAGTAAGGTAACGAATACATTTCCTATGGAGCATTGTTACCTCCTCCTTTGTTTTTCCCCTACCATCCCTTCTTTCCTCACTTCCCCAACCGCCCCCCCCCACTCCACCAAGTTATAACATTTGTTTTCAACATAGTGTCTTGCACATCTCATTGTTACAATGGGTCAACCTGTATCCTTATTTAAGCACTGTATTTCCCTTCCCCTCCCCAAATTATAAAAATAGAAACTTCTCTGAAAAGGAATTAACAATGGCCAATAGACACATGAAAAAATGCTCAACTACCCTAGCCATAAAAGAAATGCAAATCAAAACAACATTGAGATACCACCTCACCCCAGTTAGAATGGCTATAATCAAGAACTCTAATAACAACAGATGCTGGAGGGGATGTGGCCAGAAGGGAACCTTACTGCATTGTTGGTGGGAGTGTAAACTTGTTCAACCACTTTGGAAAGTAGTATGGAGGTTCCTCAAAAGACTACACATAGAGCTCCCCTATGACCCAGCAATCCCACTTTGGGGCATTTACCCAAATGATCACAAGTAAGGCTGTACTTAAAGCTCCCTAAGCCTTTTGTTCTAATGAACAGAGTGCTATAATTGAGCCACAGCTCTACTTCTAGCTTTTTGGTGATTAATTGTAGCTAAACATCTCATGTCTGACAAAACGTCTTTATTTTTAAGCAGACACACTGAGATTTTTATTTACTTATTCCTCACACTACACACTGAGATTTTTATTTACTTATTCCTCACACTATTTTTTTTGTCAGTCTTGGGGCTTGAACTCGGGGCTTGGGCACTGTCTCTGAAACTCTTGGTGTTCAAGGCTAGCGCTCTACCACTTAAGCCACAGCTCCTTCCGAACCTCTCTACTTTCTGAGTTGTACCAGTTATGGGGAAAGGAAGCTCATTGTTACATGGTTACAGCTCCACATATGTTTACAATTTACCCCCTGTGGCACACTCCTTGCATCCTTTCTTCTACAAAAAATCATCCTTAATAGGTTTTATTGTTCAATTTTCATAGTCGCAAATAATCTATTTGGCCAATATTCACCCTTCCAGGCACATCCCCCTCCGGCGTTTCCACACCTACCCAAAGAGTCTGTTTCCCTTAGCCCCCAGCCCTCTATCAGTCCCCTTGGTGTTGAGTTTCTCTGTGCTCCTCCCCTATCTATATGATGCACATTACAGGGTTATTTGCTCTTTTTCTCTCTCTTTCTCCACCTCTCTTACAAAGCTGAACTTAACATCCAGTGTCACCGTGCATGTATTCTCAGGAGATGTCACCTGGGAGGGCTGCTTGTATGACTCAAGCAGTAGAGTACCTTCCTGGCATCATCCTCCCATTCCACAATCCTGTGTCTTCTTCCAAAGATATCCTGTCCTCCTGGCTCTGCATGCTCAGGCTCTGCCTATTTTCTGAAGCGTAAGCGCGGTCGCCATTGTGACGTCTCCACTGTTCTCTCTGCTGCTGAACGACCTATCTTTCTCCTGTCATGTATCAGTTTCTGTCTTCTATCTTATTTACTGCTCTACTACTTTATTTGCTATTTTATTTCCTAACAGGTTTTGATGTCCCTGAGGATGAAGATTTATTCGTGTATCCATTCTAATATCTATGGATCTTTTAAATAGTAGACAAAAAATATACTCTAACAAATGATGAAATGAATTAGGATGCAAATTCTCAATTTTAC